GTCTTGCCATTCCCCTCAGAAACTCACTAATTTCCAGAAAGTACGCCAGTGAATGGAATGCTAATCCTCTATGTTCACACTAAAGCCATCATGGGTTTGCCTGTCCCTGCCTCACTCTAGGACCTGCCTTAGCCTGAGTTTACATCTTATCAGGGCAGACATGTGACCCTACTTGAACACGTTCATTTAGCACATGAGTCAGTAGTTGTGTTTTTAAGATATGCAGAAACAGACATAACAGAAAAACAAGTTCCACTGACCTACTTATAGAACTATTAGCTGAAGCTGAAGAGGTGGCTTAGTGGTTAAAAGCGCTGGATGTTCTTCCAGAGGACCTGGGTTTAATTTTCAGCACCCACACGGCAGCTCACAACTGTCTGTAACTCCAGTTCCAGGTCCACCATGCTCTCCTGGCCTCCCTAGACACCAGGCACCTATGTGGTACACAGACAATCCATAGTCATACCAGTTATAAACATAAAAATAAATAACCAATAAATTAATTATAAAATGTATAAAATTATAAAAAAATAAATTAACCAATTAAAAAGAATTATTAGCTCATTGTGATGGAACGTAACTGTAATCCTAGGACAGGTATGCTGAGGCAGGAGGATGGAGCTTTTCCAGGCCCACCTCAAACAACAAAAACCCACGGCTTCTTAGAGGCTATTACGCTGTGTTGTCTATAACTCCACACTTTACATAAAGAAAAAAAGTCATGAACCATAAATCCTACAAAGCCAACAGCACGCAGCTAGACCATTCCCGGAATCTTGGTTTTCTTGTGTCCTGAGAAAACCCAGGAGACTGGCACTGGGGGAAGAAAAACGGAAGAAACATACTGTATGTGTGTGGATTTAGCTGTAAGCCTCCATTATCAGAGCTAGGAGTCTCGCTCATGGGGTAGGAGTCCCTGCTGATACTACTAATTATCCTCATCCGCAACACGGAATTTTCCAGAGAAGTTCCAAGCCTCAGAGCCCTTTACATAATGCCAGTGCCAGGACTCATGGGCATCTGAACAACAGTCACCACCACCATCCCGGCTTGATCTGCCAACTAAAGATCTCACTTCTCCCAGAGTGATAAAAGCCAGACTATCCCACTCTGTTTAGGGAATTCCTTACAGCCTATCCGAACTATTCAGCTGCTTATCTTAACCGGGTCGTTAAAATTAACATCATCACAGAGGGGCAAACAGATAAAGTGCTGAGAACTGACACGCCACAGTAGACCAGCTTTGCACAGCTGTAGCCAGATGTGTGCCTTGAACCTAGCCCGACAAACATCACGCCAACCAGAAGGACAGAGCTAGCATCCCTGGCCTTGCTGAGACTGAGGACCCACAGCAGGTGAGGGACACAGGAGAGATGACTCAACAGTCCTGGAGTAGGAGGAGACGCAGGAAGGAAATGTCAGAATGTAATTAAATAGGAAGCCTGGACTCTGGTTGAGCTGGTGTGGTTACAGTGAAAATGTTTCTGTCCTCAGGAATTAAGCACTGAGTATTGAGAGGTAAAGGGGTACAAAGACAGAAGTGATGAACCTCTGTCATCTCAGCAGGCAGGAGATTCTGTAAGCTCAGTGTCAGGCCAGCCTGGGCAACATGGTAAGCCCCATCTCCAAAGAACAAGAGGAGGGACAAAGGAATGTTTTTAAAGTTAATGGTAAGGAGGAAATAAAAATGGGGAACAAAGACAGGAAGCAGAGACAGACAGAGAGAAAGACAGGAAAGGAGACAGACTGGGAAGGAGAAATGATGTGACAGAATACTGGAAATCGGCAACTCTGGAAGGGGAAAAAAACGTAAAGGAAAGGCTTTTGAGTTCTGTGTTTATTTTCCCCAGCTTTTCTATTAGCCAAACAAAGAAGTCAGAAACAAAAGAAAACAAAAAACTTTAAACTCAAAGCCTGGCTCCTGAAATGACAAAGAGGATTCTGAAAGGTCAGTAACCCTATACTGGAACAGTTTCCAATGAGAGATAATTGTTCTTCTCGAAAAGGGTTGATGAGGCTTATCACACCTTCCACGGGGGAAGGGGTGGAGCTGGAGGGGGGCGGTTCGGGAGAGCCTTATGCTGCTCTCGGTAGGATAAGTGTCCAGGCTTGCATCCTCTGTTCCTGCCTGCCCCTGGTCCTGCAGGTCCTTGCAATGACAAGAGCAGATGGCCCTGCAGATATGACTACACCAAGCAGACAGGAACAGGAAACGGGTGGCTCTCGGCTTTCATCGCTCACCCTCTGGGGGAAAAAAAGCACACCATTCAGGAACTCCTTCATGCTTGCTGGTCAGTAGCTGCAGAGGGTCAACTGGCCCTCAGTTCTGGGTGGCTGAGCCAAGCAAGAGCCCTCAATTAGGTAAATGAGTTTTTCCTGAGCTTCTTGGTGCTCTGTATTTGAGCTGAGGAGAGCGCACTTGGGAGGGGCCTGCAGCTCCTCCTCTTGTTTAGTGTAGAAACAATGTTTCTGGGTGGACCTAGTGTGCTGAGAAGTTTGAGACTGGAGAAACTGTCACTGAGGTGAGCTCAGCTCTGGCTTCTGCCTGTCAAACAGCAGTTTTGAAAACCAACGCAGTGAATGCTGTGGAAGCTATACGGACTGGAACCAGTTTTCTTTTAAACTTCCGGCAGGGTACTTGGAGATGTAAAGAGTTTGCATCTATATTTTTAGTAATAACTAAGGATTTCAGCTTTGGGTTCATTTTTAAATATTTTGAAGAGTTTGGGACTATTTCTTTAACATAGTGAACTGGAAACACAGGCCTCCTACAGGCTGGAACATAACAATGAAATCACCAAATATAAACTAACACAATGGCAAATGGCTAATACAAGGCAAAGAGATGAGTTCAGCTGGGTTCTAAATCAGAAGCTAGGGCACACTGTCTGACAGGCATCCAGAACTCAGGGCTCCAAAGGCAGGGTAGGGCTCCTCCCCTCTGCACCCAGGGCTCAGGCTATACTCTGGGGTAAGTGTACAACAGATGCAAACCCACTCACTTGGAGTTATCAGAGGAAAGATAATAAAGATTTCTTTCTTCAAAAAATAAATTAATAAAAATATATATGCCAGGCATGGTGGTACATGCCTTTAATCCCAGTACTTTGGAGGCAGAGGCAGGCAGATCTATGAGTTCAAGGCCAACCTGGTCTACAAAGTGAGTTCCAGGACTGCCAGGGCTACATAGAGAAACCCTGCTTCAAAAATAAACAAACAAATAAATAAATGAACAAATAAATAAATAAATGTGTATGCATATAGACAAACATGTATATGTGTGTGTGTGTGTACACACAAACATATGATAAACTTTAGGGTTCTTTTTTAACTATGATTTTTTATTTGTGTTTCCACGGCTGGAGCCCAGGGACTACTGTATACTAGGAAAGTATTTACCACTGAGTTACATCCCTATCCCTAGGCAAGTGAAAATTTGTAACTGAAATAAAAATGTACATGCCAGTTACTGAATGGAGGGTGGGGTTCACAAAAAGGGACTTGAAAATAATATCCTGAGTCATTTGAACAAAAGAAAAATTTAGACACAGAAGTTGGCCTAAAAGTATCAAATCTCAAAGGCAGTTCTGTCTTGTGTTGATTTACTGCTAGGTAAGTCTTATGGGGGCCGCTGCGGCTCTGGCTTCTTCCTGCAGCTATTCTGATGTAGGCCTTTAGATGGCCTGGACCAGAGACAGCCACTGTTGAAGGGAGGTAAAGCTCAGGCATGGCCAGAGGCTGGAGACAGGTAGCCTGGGTCTCAGGCAGCCTTCACACCCAGTATTCCAACCCACTCCAGTTTTAGGCTAGGCCCAGCCAACATTCACACTGTATCATCAACCCAGAACCTTTTAGTTTGTGAAACACTTGACATATTTATCAAAAGAAGTGTTTCAATTTATGTGACAGACATATTACTCTGTTTGTACACAAAACTCCCATAGTTTCCATCAGAGCCACCTGTCTGCCTAGGTCCCTTCCCAGGGTCCTCCTGGCTGTGCGGAGTGGAACTGGCTTCCCAGCCCCCACCCCCCTTACCTTGTTAAATATGCCCTCAGCAAACATCTGTCTACCTCTGGGTTGGCATGTCTTCTGCCAGGACCCTGCTTGGCAGACATGGGATACCCACCACTTGCTGGCTCATCCACTCACTTGCCAGTGGCCAGGCAGCCATGCCTGGCGAAGGCCAGGGAAGGAGAGACGCCGGCCCTCTGTGGAGCTCATGAAATCCTACTGACACGAGGTGTGCCAACACTCTCTTAGCACTAGCATTTAAGTGTGCCCCTCCAAAGTTATGTTGACACGTTGCATCCATGGTGGGGGTTAGGGAAGAGCCTGCTCCCAGCCACCAGCTTCCGCAGGCAACAACAACCCCAGCCAGAGGAAACTTGTCAGTCATGTGTCCAGCCACGGTCAGAACCTCAGAAAGGCTGGCAGGAAACTAACTTGGGCTTCCTTTGTCTTTTCAGCCCCTCCACTCCTTGGTGGTGTCTCTGCCTCCTGGGGGTAAAGCAGAGTTCCACGTAGGAAGGACTGGGCCTCTTCCTGAAGGAAGCTGGCAGCACCTGAGCTGGGGCTCCCAGCCTGCAAGACTACAAGTGGATGGCCTCTGCTCTTCCCCTGGGACCCAGGCTCAGGTACTGCTCCGGCAGCACGCAGGACTGAGGCGATTCGGAACTCCCATCAGGGGGACACCATGGTATGTGAACAGGCACCTCAGAGCTCAGGTGGAGGTGTGGCCTTTTGCTAGCAGTGTCACGGTGGACAGTGACCGCCTCTCTGGACCTCAGCCACCCTGTGGGAGCAACAGTGCCTGCTGAAGTGCCATCAGTGGAAAGAGAGCCATGTCACCCATATGCCTCACAGAAGACAACGGCAGCCAGTCACTAGCTGTGACGACAAAGGTGCCATAGCTGGGCAGGGCAGCTGCTCTCTAGGCCAGTGATTCTCAACCTGTGGCTCATGACCTCTTTGGGGGTTGAATGACCTTTACACGGGAGTCGGACAACATGGATATTTATATTATGATTCACAACAGTGGCAAAATTACAGTTACGAAGGAGCAACAAAAATTAGCTTGTGGTTGGGGGTCAGCACAACATGAGGGACTGTGTTAAAAGGTTGCAGCATGAGAACCACTGCTCTGGGCAATAAAGGCAGGGACTGCTGGTCACACCATCCCCTGAGCCTTCTCCCTGGTCACTCTCGTCTCTGAGGTCCCAGGGAGAAGTTCTGCTCAGAAGAGATGTGGAGGAGGGGGGCAACCAGAAGCCACCTGAATGCCACTCAGTTGACACACGCAAAGGCAGAGGATGTAAAGTGAGGTCACGCCCCTAGTGGAAGCCAGAGAAAGTCAGATGAACTTTCCAGCTGCACCCTGGTCCTCTGGACACGGGGTGTTCCCAGACCCTCAAACAGTGAGCGTGGGGCTCACATGATCTGGCAGGGACTGGCATGTGCTTGGGTTCTGTAAGCAGGTGTCACTTTGTTAAACTCCTGCCCAGTTAGAAACCACCAGGCTGGTGCCTCGACAAAGCAGACACAGGAGCTACAGGGTTTGCAGCTGAGCATCTTGGGGACACAGAGGAAGGGCTTTCTTAGAAAGAAATAAATAGGCATCATACATCCTGATAAAGTTAAAGGGCTAGTAGTCAAAATATGCTGAGGCCGCCCCTCCACGGCAAGCAGAAGTCACACATGATTTTCCAGAGATACCACCATTTCAAAGGCGGTTTTGACAAAAATGAAATGTACTTCAATTGCACACTCTTGGGGAACGTTTTCGTGTCTGCCAATAGCGTGGCTAGCCAGTGCCTGGCCATGGTACCCACAAACAGTGCAGTGAGAACACTGGCATGGGGTCACATCAGGCAGGCTGCTTGTCCTGGACCCCAGCAACTCAGGATGGGTATCTCTAGATACAGCACCCCCTCACAGCCTGGAGGGGAGCAGTCATCTCTGCCCTGCCCTGAAATTGACAGTGCACAGCTGGATGCTAGCCTAGCCACTTTGGTCAATTGGAAATAGCCCGAAGAGCCAGACACCTTATTCTGTCAATTGAGAAATATATCACTAAAAGTTCTCATTAAAAAACAAAAACAAAACAAAACAAAAAAAAAACAGGTTATTAGGTTCCTTGAGGGGTATTTTGTTTTCAAAATACAAGCTTTCACACCTCTACTGTGCCAGGAGGGGTGGGCAAACTCTGATAAGACACAAAGAACCCTTTACCAGAACTGTGTCCTTCCGATTCTTGCCACTAGAGGGAGGTGCGTGGCCACCGGCTTAAAATTCCACCTGCTAGGAAGTATTCACGAGCAAATACGAGCAAATCACATTTTCTTGGGTCAGTTCTTTGCAATGAAAGAGAACATGACTTCCGAACAAGACATGTCCACACCCACATGGGGACCTCCTTGGTCAATCCTTTCAATGATCCAGACTGGCCTCCTTGGCAGCCTGCACGCCTAGCCACCATGGCTCCTTCCCTGACAGACACAGGATGGTTGAGGCCAGACCAGAAGAAGATCATGATGGCAAAGACCTCCTGCGGACAAGCCACGGCCCCAGCGATACTTCATGGCTACTTTAGAATTAATACTAAAGGACAAGTTAGTATGCACCTAGATCTAAGCTCATTCACATCCTCATCTGTTCACTATGTACGGATCTCTGCAGAATCCTGGGCACTCGTCCACCGGCGTCACGGTCCACCTGGTCCCTGGGTTCTAGAGCCTCTTTTTCTGGGGCACCTGGCCGTTGGTCCTTTCTTGCCTGCTGCCCTTGGCTTCAGGCTGTGCGAAGTTCCAATCCACAGGATTGAGAAGCTGCTGAGTCTTTTTGTGTGTCCAGTAGGGGTTGATGATGAACGTGAGCAGGGCCAACCCACAGAGGAACAGTGCAAAGTGAGGCAGGTACAGGCTGCTGACGAGGGCGTCCCAGTGCGTGAGGCTCACCCACCAGAGGTGGTAGGTGAGGATCATGCGGCAGTGAAACATGTGGATCATGAGCCACTGGTTGACCTTCCAGAACAGGGAGCCTGACCAGCCGGCCTGTGGACAGGGCAAGCACAGCGTCAGTACAGAATGTGAAACGGCATCTGCGCCCTTTACACGTCATGAACTCAGTTCAAAGCAACGGGCCTCTTGCCAGCGTTTGATCTCCTGGGTTTAATTTTGAAGGGAGATGGGAGCCTGAGGACGCACCTCATCAGTCCGGCCTGCCCTGCTTGCTTCCTACCCCCCAAGGCAGGACTCAAATCTTTCTATCTTGAATTAGCAAGAAGGGCCCCCACTTATCCAGCAGCAGCACACACACAGCCTGGGGCAGTTTGGATGGAATGTGTGTCCTGGTTGCTTTAGCTGTTTCACCTCAGCCAGCCTTAGATGAAGGCTAAAATGAAGTAGCTGTAACACCATGCTCACAAATATCAGCAAATCACAGCGAAACACAGCGGTGAGTCTCAGCAGCTGAAGCTGAGCAGCACTTGATGCCTCGCCATGGACACAAAGCCAAGCCCGGCTGCCCCACACAGACCCCGAATAGCACCCCCCACACTGGTGGCAGGTGCTTCGTGGCACCAGCCTTTGGGCATCCTCAGACCGCCAACCCCAGTGCAGATGTGGCTGCTGCCTCCTCTCAGGGTGCCCCTGGATGGGCAGAACTTGGAAACTCAGTGGCTGGGTTTGGGGCCGCTAGACTCAGGGCCAGTTGGCGGGTCAGAAGCTAAAGGTGTGGCTACTGTTCTGGAGGCAGGGCCTCTGAGGTCAGAGGCAATGCTCACCTCCAGGCTGTCCAGGAGCCAACTTCTGAATTCAGTAAACCAACAAAAGAAAGCTGCTCTCACACTCCCATAAAGATACACGCGTCTGACACCCCCGCCACCCCAGAGGGTAAGAGTCACGTATTTAAGAGAGGACCTTTTGAATGTATACAACACTACAAATACATCTCCTCAGAATGTTTTAAGTGACTCAGTCCTAAGAGCCACCAATCATTATTTTAACTCTAAGACTTAATTAAATCTAAGAAGCTGAGTGCTGGGTGATGGTGGCACACGCCTTAAATCTCAGCACTCTGGAGGCAGAGGCAGGAGGATCTCTGTAAGTTCAAACAGCCTGCTTTACAGATCGAGTTTTGGGGCAGTCAGGTATACACAAAAAAACCCTGTCTCTAAAAAAAGGAAGATAGATAGATTAGATAGATAGATAGACAGACAGACAGATACATACATACATACACACACACACACATACACATATATTCATACATGATCGATACATAGATAGATGATGTCTCACTGCACAGATCCTTATGGCAAGTCCCAGTGACATTCCAGCCTCTGTAGTATTGTGTAAGGCACCCTGCTCTGCAGCCAAGCCCAGGACCCCCACTTCCCCTCAGGAAGCACCCACCTTCAGAAGCATCCAGGAGACACAGGTGAAGGGCGTGCTCATCTCTAGGAGCAAAGTGGCCATGGCTAGATAGTGGCCAGCTCTGAGATTGACCATTGAGCCGAGAAACCCGAGAAAGGCGAAGAAGTGGTGGACAACCAGAAACAGGTCAAACGTCCAGAAGAACAGGTTGGACAGATGAACAGCCACATTCTCAAAGAAGAAGAATCCGGTGGCTGTGGTGATGTGAAACCAGCACCAGCTCTGCTGGCCAAGTGCTTTGTCGGCAGGGAGCACAGGGTCCCCCAGCAGGGCCCATAGGCCTGCAGCTGTGCTCTGGACACCAAAGACAGCACGGGTAGCTGCCAGGTTCCAGAAGACCTTCTCTCTGGCTGCCAGAGAGCGGTAGGTGGCATTCAGGGAGGATGACAGCTGGTGGCAGACCACAAAGACGCCCAGGTAGAAGACAAAGCCAGCTACTGCTAGCGTCGAGCGAATCTTCCAGGAAGCATAGTCCAGGTCAAAAACACTCTCCGCCACTTCATGGCTGCTCACAGGAGTCATGATCCTAATCTGGATGCCAGGGGTGTATCCGTGCCAACACCCAGCGGCTTGGCTTGACACCACGCCTCACTCTCAGTGGAGCTGTCTCTAGGGTCTTCGGGCATCCATCTGAAACCTGAAGAGGAAAGAAAATTCACCTTGTGCTGGCTCAGAAGCAAAGGGAAGAAGAAAAACACCACAGTCTCCCTCCCCCAAAGAAGTCTACCCACCCCACCCCCACTACAGGACAAAGGTGTGGGAAGTATTTTTTAAGCACTCTACTGCCTCACTCTTAGGCCCTGCAAGATACCTACAGACAGCACAGAGGAAGAAACTACGAGGAGCCTGAGACGCTCGGCCATGAAGGAAGGCTGACACCAATCCTCTTCCCATAGAGCTCCAGGCTGAGCTCTGGCCCTTGCCGAAGCCTGGTGATAAACTACATGATCCAGAGGCCAAACAATGACACTGGACACATTCAGCTGAGGCCTTACCTCTAGGATCTGTCCTTCACGTTCCATGCTTTGGAAAAGCTGTTAATAAAAGCAGCATGTTTACTTATGGTGTCAGGAACAATCCTGGTCCTGTGGCCTTAGGACATTTCTGGGACTCAGTTTCCCCAAGAGGGGAGCAGACCATGAGTACTGGGGAGTAGGGGACGCTGTGGGACTGAAGAAGGTCTGGTGCATGGTACAGGTTGAGGCTTGCTAATCTGGAGCATCCTAAGGGTTAACTACCTGAAAATGACTGTTAATTTGTTTTACAATTCAGATCCGTCATGTGCTCCTTCTCATGACTTTAGATCCTCTGTTAAGATTCTAATAGGGGCCTGGAGGGGTGACTCAGGGGCTAAGAGCACTGTCTGCTCCTCCAGAGGTCCTGAGTTCAATTTCCAGCAACCACATGGTGGCTCATAACCATCCATAATGAGATCTGGTGCTTTCTTCTGGCATGCAGGTGTATATCCAGACAGAACATTGTATACATAATAAATAAATAAATCTTAAAAGAAAAAAAAAAAGACTCTAACATAGCTTCCAGAATGAGTCTGAACTACTGCCTGGGGACCCACCATTATTTGGGTGTGACCCACGTCCTGTCCTGCCTCAAATTCTCCCTCACCTTGCTTTATGCTCTAGCTCCAAACTAAGGTCTCTCTGCAGATTGCCACCTGCCCCTGGCCCCAACCAGCTTAAATCCATTTTCTTCAGATGCCCTCTAGTCTATGGAGAATCACCACAAACTGGACCAAATGTCCTTGTAAAAGGCTTCAAACAAACTCACACGCCCTCTGGGACCAAACCTAAGCCACACTGCAGTTCTCCAGCCCGCATCACACCAGCCTGACCCCCGTTATAACTACATGGCCTGGCACAATGGCTGGCACACAGTAGGCCCCATGAAATACTTGCTGAATTCATGTACAGATTCTAAACTGTGCTTGAATGGCAAAAGGTACCTAAACCGAATCTAGTGTGTCTGAGAAACTGTAAAAGCGGTGTCTCGAGAATGGAGGAAATTGTGAGACCCAGTGGGCCTTTCTCTTCCAGAACCAGTGTTATCATTCCCAGACGGCCAGTCCCTTAGCAGACGGGACCAACGCTGACCCTGCTTCCTTGAAGCCAGGGTGCTTCCTGAAGCCTACTTTGAGAGACAGAGGCAGAATACCACAGGGTTGTGTACTCACCGCCTGACCCATGAGGCAGCAGGGTAGAGTACCAGGAGTACTCCAATAGCTTTCTGTCTACACTAATCAACCCACTCTGCAGCCACAGAAGGCACCACAACAGGCGGCTTGTGCTGAGCTTGGATGCTAGGGCCCATCCCAAGGGACACTGGGGCCATTACACTCCTACTCTGGCAGTGGTCCTGTGACGGAGAACAACAGCTTGAAGGTGCTGGTTTTCCCCTAACTTTAACACAGGACACAGCTGTGTGCACACAACTCTGATACCATGTATCCCCTGCAGTCCTGGGAGCCCTGTGTTGCTGTCCCCCATGCCAAGGTGCATTTCCGGGCACAGGGACATGCTCTCTGGAGATGACAACCTGGAGGCTGTTCCGTGCACAGTCTACACCTGTGGTCCATGCCTCTGCTTGTGGCAGCACTAGTTTATTTCACCTTTCCAATGACTACAGAAGTTACTCTCACTCACACAAAATTTAACACGCTCCCACAGGGCTGGGGCACTGGCCTCGGTGCGGCTCTGCACTTCTGTCCCTTTCTTTTTCCGAGAATGAAGCTGGCTTTGAACTTGTAATGCCCCCTACCTAGCTGAGCACTTTACAGCTTCTAACCCAGCCACATTGAAGTCCAGCCTGGGCGAGGAAGGGAGGCAGATCTTCCTTTCTAGATCTGGAGGAAAAAAGGGCCCCATCTTGCATTTGTCCACAAGTCATGAGACTGAGAGCAAGTTCCCATTTTGCTGTCATTGCACCAACGCATCGCAGATGTCAGCTCCTACTGGGCCTGGGTCTTGGCTGGGGCGGACCCCCCAACTCTGAAAATCTCTCGGAGGTCCACTTCCTAAATCAAGGCACAGTCTCCAGAGGTTCTGGTTTAGTCAGAGTAGGAGGAACCCCAGAGCATCAGGGTCAAAGATGGCCCAGCCGAGTGGGTTCTCATAGCTTCCCTGAGCAGAGTGGCTGACCCTGAAAACGCAGGACAACAGAGCGAGCGTGAAGCACCCACCCCGTCAGGCACATCCAACTAGTCTGTTTCATCTCCACCAGAGAATGGTTCCAACTCTTCAAGGTACCCTCTAGAGCAAGGAGGGGCATCTCAACAAAGCACTGCCTCTCACTCAGTCACTGACACAGACACGACCCAGCAGACCTCCTGGCCATCCCAGAACAGGTGCCAAATAGCTAAAGAACCCATGGATTTTACACCAGAACATACACCACACTTCAACCCCCGTTAGCACTTCCCCATGCTGGGTCTGTGCTCAGAAGCTCCTGCTATGGGTGTCTCTATACAACAATGCACGCAAAGCTCTAGGAAGCTTGTGTTGTCTTAGCAACTAACAGCACCAATTGGCATCCTTCATCTGCAGAGGCAGCAGCAAGGCTGACTTCAACTTCCCAGGCCATGAGAGTTGCAGGCCAGGTTCTGGCTGCAGGGAGCCTATCTGCTCTTGGGATCCACCCTGCCATTCCTCCCTGGAGTCCTGCTGGTCCCCTACAGGGTCAGAGCTGTGCCTGGTAGGCAGCAGATGGGTATGGGACCAGCTCACTTCTCCTTTCACATGTAGTTCCACTCCTCAGAATGACCACATCTCTCACATTAGAAAGGCAAAAAAAGGGACACTGAGGTTACCATCAAACCCTTCTGCATGCCTGCCTGCTTCACACCAAGCCCATATGCTTACCATCTAAAATACACTGCACAGTGGCCTGTCACTGCTCCCTGTTAACACATCAAAGCTGGCACGGGCTGCTATGCTCTCCCAGCATCCCTCAGTCCCTACTTGTTACAGGTCTTCCTGGCTGGCATGCCCTAACCCCTACTCCAAACTTCTCCAGCCCAGGGGCTGTGCTCCTCATCCCTATATAAGCCAGCCATTTTGGCTACACTGGCCCTTTTGGGCATCTTGGTTTCCTGGTTCTCCCCTTTTCCTTATCCCCTCTCCTCTTATGTTCTGGCTAGGGTAATGTTCATTCTGGACTCTCTCGGATGTCTCTGCCTCTGGGTGTGCTCTCCCTCATATCTACAACAAACCTTCTCTTCCACCTTACCTAGAACAGTCAGGTCCTCCCTTATTTTTTTTTTCCACTCAACCATGAGATGCACCATTTGCCACTAATAGGGTGAGCCCAGGTTTGCTTCATAATCTCCAGTCAGGTGTTGCCTCTGGGGCCATCCAGTCAGGTGATGCCTCTGGGGCCCTGTACACTTCCTTGAGTTTTTTTCCCTACAACGGGGAACCATGGCCCAAAAGGCTGTGGTTTCACTGTGCCCCAGAACACTCATCGGTTCTGTGCCTAACACACTCAGCCCAGCACTCCTACTGTTGCTCAAGCAGAAACCCTCCCACACTGGCTGCCACTCTTCTGCCACTCTTCTTATGCCACTCAGTAGGGCATACCATTGACAATGCAAGGGGATTTTCTCAACACTTTCAGAATCACACACAAACAGGTGCTCAAAATATTTCCCCAACAGCAAAAGAAATACATGCTCAACCAAATTGAAAATAAAATAAGCCTGAAAATAGAGAAATGAAACCTTATTATCCGCTGACAAGGTTAAAGCAATACCACAAGTCTCTGGCACTCGCTGAGTCAGGCTTTCTCTAGATAAAAACATTTCCTTGTTATTAACAAATAGGGGGAAATGCATGTAAGCTGTTCACTATTTCTTTGCCTTTAGCAACACATCAGTGTCCCTCACTAATCCTCTCCCAGGGGGTTCTGGGAAGCTTAAGAAACACATGATTGGGATGTGTGTTTATTTACCTATCCAGTATCCTAACATATTCTGTCCCGAGTATCTCAGCAAAACTGTTCAGGGAGAACCTTCATGGGACCAAGAAGGGAGGCCCAATCTATGAGCACCATTTCCATAACAACTAGAGCTAGGAAACTCAGGCCAGTCTAAAGGAACTGTGGAAGACCCAGTGGCTGTGGGGGCAAGTCATATTTTCACAACAATTTGACATTTGCTTAATCGTGACTTTTCCCAAATGCTCACACTCTTCCTGCAAAGATTTTAAGTAAAATCAAAACAAAACATAGCAACAAGTCCAATGTCTAGCTACAGATTTCATACACAAACACAGTAAGAAAATGAATAGCGGTGAATTCAAACAGTACTTCACAACTGCCACTCTTAAAGCCTTCTAAAACTCGGCAGGCATCCTTATCTGAGACACCACCCTAGCCCCAGGACAGCTGATAGCCAGGTGTCAAGTCTTATTCCCCCTCTCCTTCTCTACGTGCTGCCATCACCCAATCCCACCTCTGGGATCAGGCCAACAGCGCCTTTCCCCCTCCGGTCTCAGACGAGTCATACTCCCCAGCCCCTAGCATTGTACTGACCTAGCCGAGCGTCCTGTCCCGATTCGTCCCAGGCTGTTCCATCACTCTGCCGCCCCTGATACCATGTTCTCTGGCGCCCCAAGTCAACCAATTGCACCCATTCTGGCTCGTCACCCGCGCCCCCGCTGGTCCCACGACCTGGAGGCCAAAACCAAAGGGATGCCTCCTCCTCGAGTAGCCAGGCAATGACAGCCCCTATGCAGGCGGGTGTATACTGGGCGCGCTCCACGTCTCACCTGCATTCAGGTGAGCAGAAGCGGGGGCGCCGCCTATCAGCCCATCAGCTGCTCACGTGACATGAGCCAGACAGGATGCTGGCGGGTGGGTGGCACGGGAGATTCGGACCCCAAGCCCACTTGTGTGCCCGCCTCAGCTGGTACCCGGCTTTCGGTCCACTCCTCCCTTAGCGTCGGAGACTCACCCACGACACTGTCGCGCGCTGAGCAAACACTACCCACTGCGCACGCGCACCTCTACAGACAACTGGCTTAGGCCCCGCCCCTGTGGGACTCTACCAAGGAGGGCTCAGGGATGCGGGCCATACCACCCAGAGCCGCGGGGGCGCCCAGAGCGGGCGCTTCGCTGGATGTGACTGTCCTGGCTCAAGCTGGCGCTGGAACCTTGAAAAGGGGTATGGGAGGAGTCCGTGGGGGAATTCATCAAGAACCCCCGCTGACCCTCCATGACCCTCCCCTATCCTTCTGCGTAGACCTACCCCCAAGACCCTGCCCAAGTACACCCATCCCTTCCTACTTTCTCCCGCGCCTTGTTCCTTGGCCTCTGACGTTCCAGCTCTGAAATGAAAAGCAAACGCCTGCGTCTCCGGGTTGGGGTTGCCCTACGTGTGCTAGCGCTTGGAGCTCCTGGCGACTGGCTGGAGCCAGCATACTGTGCTCAGGAGGACAGAATGGACCGGAGCGCGTCCCTCGTTACAGCGGCATTGTTTTCCAGGCGGTGGCACCTGGCTCCAGTCTGCACAAGGGCAGTGTGGTATAGGGTCCCATAGGAAAAGGTGTACAATCTTTTCGAGGGGCGTGTGCGGAGCTACCCTGTGCTCCTGCCAAGAGCTGAAGCTGGTTGGCCCTGGATCTCCAGAGCCAGCATTACAGGAAGGCCAGGGACCTTCTGACCCTTGCCATGCACCTACCACGACCAGGGTGGGGATGGGGTCACGTAGGGTGGCAGAAGGTGAAGCAGAATCGATTCCCCCTCTCTGGGCAGCTAGAGAACCCGCAGCCACCTAGCATAACAGCCTGGCTCTGGAGTCACACGAGGCCTTAGCAAACTCCTTGTGCAATGTCATATCATTTAGATGCGTTCACGTATCTGGCTCTTATCTAAACAGGGCAGTGGCCCACGAGCAGAGCCCTCCCCCAGAACCTTTAACACACTCTTTAAAGTAGGTACACCAGATACCTACTTTAAAAGACCCTACGAGGAAGAGTCCTGTACATACCACACTCCTGGTTCTCATTTTGTCTCTGAACACGCAGGAATTTCAGCATAGTTAACCAGGCCGCTTGCAAAGGACCTTAGAGAAACATCACACACAAGATGGATAAAATGGCCAATGAACTGTGACTTGAGCCCCACGCCCCCATGGAAGTAAATGCCATCAAAACATCTGTTTATGGCAGAGATTTGCAGTGACACTCAATTTTTGCTATATTCCTGGTGTTTCATCAGTATTTGTTTCACTGCTGAGCTCGTGGTTGTTACCTCAGTTTGTGTCCTTCCTCTTTGTATTGGGAGCAATTTCGTAGTTTCAAGACCACTCTGAGCTACATAAGACCCTGTGTTAAAATAACAAAAGAGTGAGCTGGTTGTACGGGCATATTTTTTGTAATCCTGACCCTTTGGGAAGTGGAGATAGGAGGGTCAGGAGTTAAAGATCAGCTATACAGTTGATTTTAAGGCCAGCCTGGATTAGACCAGCCTTAAAACAACAAACAACCAAGATTCCAGTGTGACTCCTGTTCCTGCTGTATCACCTGCAAGTTTACAGCCCAGGCACTCCCTTCTGTCTGGCCAGCCTTGCTGGAAGCCTCCTCTAAGCACTCCTTAAGCCTCCTGTGAGTCAGGTGCCACACTGCTTACTCATCCTTTCAGATGTTCCAGCTGGGGGTTGGGATATGGGAGAGGAAGGGGAAGGGAGAAATGGTGTAGATTTACATTATCTCAAAAGAAAACAAAAAGACAATTTCTTCTACCTAATTCTTGCTTCTGGACAGAAACATGACAGAGTTCTCAGAGGGGTATGTCTCTGGGTGAGAGAGAAAGAAAAATTTCTACACTTGGGCCTATAGAGTTATTTCCCAGAGAGCAGTAGCATTCTTGGGAACAGGAGACAGAAGCTCTCATATCTCACCCATATGGCCTGTTATTATCAACAAGCTCCTCTCCTCCTATCCACCACGCACCCAATGTGCCTATGCCCTGTGTTGTGGTACAGGCTAGTGCATGCCTTGTCTAGGGACAAACTGGCTGTCGGTCGGCCTGTCCCTTACAGGGAAAATACCTTTACAAATGGATGAGTGAAGCCAGGTGTGGTGGCACACCCTGAGTCCCAGCACTCTCGAGGCAGAGGGAGGCAGATCTCTGTGAGTTTGAGGCCAACCTGGCCTACAAAGGGGGTCCAGGACAGCCAAACCTGCACGGAGAAACCCTGTGCAGAAAAACAAGAAGAAGAAAAGAAAAAAAAAAAAAAAAAAAAAAAAGGAAAAGGACAACTAACGCAGAATAGAAAGGCAGGAAAGATCAAGAAGACAAGGAAGGGAAAGGGGTTCCTAACCCCAGAGTCAGGTGAATTCAATGTAAAGATTGCCTGCAACATTCCTTTTATTGCAAACAAGAATGTTAAGCTAGCAACGAGCCGTATTTCAGGGCATAAACGTGAGGGATCTCTGAGTTTAGCTTCGCTCCTCTCCTAGCAGTAAACCCAGAGTTTGCTGGGCATTTCACAGACAGGATCATGAACTTTGTCCACCGTCAGGCATATGTCTTAACTCCCTGTATCCTAGTAAAGATCTCTTCCACCCTTGTGACCTATGTTCACGCTTTGTCAGCTGTAATCCTGTTCGCTGTTCTTCAAAATCCACAATATGACTTAGTTTACTGAAGAAAAAAAAAAGTTCTTGGTCTCGGCTGTGTGCTGTTCCTTTCATAAGTGCTTGATTAACACTGGAGCTTAAACCTATGTGAAAGCATTTTTCTTAATCAGCCTGCAACTCTGCTTTTCACTGACTTAGAAGAAACTCTTTTTGTTGTTGTTGTTGTTGACAGGCAGCACTGTCCCCAACCCCTTTCTCCAAGAGTATGTACTCAGTCCATTGATTCTGTTTTTGCCTGCATGTGTGACTATACACCACATGAATGCAATGCGTGAGGAGGCCAGAAGAAGTTGTTGGATCTGGAGTTACAGACTGCCGTGAGCTCTTTCTCTGGAAAAGCAGCCAGGGCCCTATAATCTGCATAACCACCAGGACAAACCTTCTGGCATCCAGGATCTGATGAACCATAAACACGGTTGGGACCAGGTTTACGATGTGTCGAAGGAGCAGCAAAACGCTCCTCTTTGCACGGGGTGTTCCTCCTGGCACAGTCCAAACCAGTTTCCAGCAAGATCCTGTTATGTTCTTAAAACCCTGACCTCCGGCCAGTTTAAGAATCCTATCAAGCTGGTTTAAAAAAAAATCCAGCCTTGCTTTCAGATGAGATTCCTGCAAAAAGGCAGCTTTATTATCACTTGGCTTGTCCCTAGGGAGAAGCCTCTTGTAGATCACTGCCCTAACCTGGGTGTTCATTTCTTCTCTATAATTTCCCACTGCAGTCGCCCACCCTGTCCTCACTGAGTCCATTTTTATCCTTGAACCCCACTGCAGGGTAACATCCCTCACACAACAGGCCTTGGGGAGAGCCTGACTTATTGTCTCCCCCCCCCCCCAAAAAAAAAACAAACAAACCATATCTTTACCTAAAAACCTGTCTTCTGGAAAGCTGATGACTGCGAAGTGCCTATGGCCGGAAGTGGACCTTTAGGCAGGACTTACTGGGAAGGTAACCTTGCAGCACCAGGGCCTTCCTGAGCCAAATCTGTGATCACAGAGTTGCTGGTCTCTACAGTGAGAGCAGGAGTCCTCGCCTGACCCCAAACGCCCTGCCTTTTGCATGTCAGCCACATGGCATGGGCAGGGCTCATGGGAAGTAGGAAGTTAGTGGTTATAATCATATAAACCTTGGTGGGCCAAAGATATTACCCTAGCAGTCAGCTACAAATACCTTGACAATGATATGAGCACTCACACAGCTCTCATAGGTGACTTCAGGGACATGTGTCCATAGATAGGGGTTTTTCTTGGGAGGTAGAAGATTCTGGTCTCAGGAAGGGAAAAAAGTACCAGAGGTCCAACAGTGCCAAATCAATCCACAGCAGAAATTAATCACATGGAATGTCACCAGTGCAGAGGGTAAAAAGCCACATCCCAGAAGGAGAAACACCCCTACGACACATTTAGGGGGTAACGCTGGTCTAGCAGGAATTATGGGGTTGAGGGTGCCATCTCCACAGAGAAGCATTAGTGGAAGACACAGTGCTCTTCAGAACTGTAAGGGGAGAGCACCATGCTTCCGTGGGAATTCTTATTAGGGGTGTTCTACAATCTAAGAAGAAACTGTGAGGAAGCAAGGAAGCGTGCTCTTCTCCCAGCAGGCTTTCCACTGCCCCACAAAGCTCTGTGCTATATTTCCTGGGAGGGTGCCAACCAGGACTGGACTCAGGTGACAGAGAGGGTTTTGGTTTTGTTATACTCCCACCCCCCATGTGTGTATGTGTGTGTGTGTGTGTGTGTGTGTGTGTGTGTGTGTGTGTGTGTGTTTGGGGGGATGTTCACACTCTTACACAAGTGCATGTAGAGGTCAGAAGACAACATTGACAATGTCATTGTTCCCCAGATGCCTTCCACCTTATATTTGAAACTGGCTCCCCTTGGACTGGATGCTTGCTGTGAAGGCCGGGCTAGCGGCCAGTGAGTGGGTCGTCCTCCGGTCTCTGCTTCGCATGTCGTTATTGCTGAGATGAGGGATATGCACCACCATGTCTGGCTTTTAACCTGGACACTACAGATGCAGACTCATCTCATGTGTTCTGTGAGCCCGCCGCTTTACTGACTCAGCCAACTCCTCAACCAGACCTCCAGGAGCTCAGACAAACTCTGCCTT